GCCTAGAGTATACACCCACTAGTAAGTTACCATTTTATTACCAAAGAGCTGCACCTTCCCCATTTAGCTACAGTCCATCCATTCTGTAGAGCCAGTAATTGACCAAAAGTCAGCTTAGTTCTCATAAACCAAAACCTTCCCTCTTACACCAGTTCCTCAGCAGGAGCTTTGAAAGGTAAACAATTGGCTGTCTCTCTGTGTCTGTTGTGGCTTGTAGCACTGGCAGAATTTCTAAAAATACTACCTTGGCACCTAGTTCTCTGAAATCATTTTTAAGGACTCTGTCTTCACCTGATTTTTTTTTTATTAGATCCAACATGTTCCTTCCCAAAAATCTGTCCTTTAGATATGCAACATATCAAACCTAAGCACTCAGTAAACAACATACTGTTTGGTGGTCTTGGTCTTTATGACAAATTAACCTTTAATAATGGAATCCCCTATCAACAGTATGTGTCTATCCATGCTTAAACACCTACTCCCATCCATACTGGAGCAGTCACTGCCCTGGCAGCTGGAGATAATATGTCCGAACATCATGCATATTAATTGGGGTGCATTAACCCAGGACTCACCTCTATGACACATTTCCCTTTGCCTTGTCAACTGCAACCAAGGTACTTACCCTGAGCTCTTGTACCTCTATTCCTCAATCCTCCTCTGTACCATCCCCAGCTATCAATTGTTAATTTGTAGCCAGCCAGTTGATTCTTTAGTTCCAAAATCTGGGCTCACAGTATTTTCCCATGAATGGATGCTCAAGGAACGTATTCATGGAGCAGGCTGTGCATCGTGTTGCATTAACACTCACGGGGACATGTCTACCAATAAATTAATCATATTTTTGGTGTGCTATCAAACTGCAATAATACTGTGTATATATATATATATATATATATATATAGATATATATATATATATATATATATATATATATATATATATATATATATATATATATATATATATATATATGCTGTATATATATTTATATTCTATCTATCTATCTATCTATCTATCTATCTATCTATCTATCTATCTATCTATCTATCTGTCTATCTGTCTGTCTGTCTGTCTGTCTGTCTGTCTGTCTGTCTGTCTGTCTGTCTGTCTATCTATCTATCTATCTATCTATCTATCTATCTATCTATCTATATTTGTTTTTGCGTACCTAACACCTCAGACCCTAGACTTCTCACAGTTTCCAGCAATTTTCTCTATGCCCTGCAGTTCTCACAGCACACAGTACTTCACACAGTGCCCAGCAGTAAAAAGTGCTAAGCACCTACAACATTTCTTGAAATTGTCATCAAAACAAGAGTGTATGATGAGACGCATTAGTCGAGACCACGGTACAGTGACGTCATTGCAGAAGAATGGATGTATACGCACTCATGGAAGTGTAGTGTGGTATTCAGGAGCTCCTACATACACATGCTGTTATTATTAGTGTTGGACGAGCACTTGCCAAATGTGAATTTTTAATCTATGACGCACATATATTTTAATTAAAATTTTCATAAATAGCTTAGTGCTATGATGTTATCCCTTCTGTGTTGTTTAAACTTTGTGCACGTTCATCCTGGTCCCTAGAACTGTTGAGGCTGGATGAGATTGTGCAGCATTGTGGAGGATAAAGGTCTCTGGTGTATGAATTGACGTCATTCTAGAATAGACCTGCTTATTAAGGTAAAGTGATAATAAAGTGTTAAAAGAAAAAAAAAAAAGATTTCCCCCTACAGGGCAATGTTATAATGTGCTAGAATGCATAGCATACTAGCATATTATGAGAGACTTACCTTATTAAAACAAAGCTCTCCAGCAGTGAGCTCTCAATGCTGACATGGTTTCCATCTTTGCTCAGTCTTCCTTTTGGGTCACGGGCTCCAGCCATTTGACTGGTCAAGCCACGATGATGTCACTCCCAAGCATGCACGCAGGAGTCGTGGCCACGGCGTGGAGCTCTGAAGGGACAGCATCAATGATGCTGTATACAGGGCTGGCACTACTGCTAGGCATCCCCCCAGGACGCACTGCCACCTAGGGAGCCGACACAGTGGCTGGTATTTTTTTTTTTTCGGAGGGGGTTGCAAGAAGCTGTTCTTGCCTAGGGCATATAGTCTAGCACTGGCCCTGACTGTATATTAAGTACAAGGCAGTTACAACCATGCAGAGCTGTTTCTGCAGTGCCCAGCAGTTAATACAGTGCTAGACAGTTATTACAGTGCCCGACAGTTATTTCAGTGTCCAGTGGTTAATATTATAGTGCCCAGCAATTATCACAGCACCCAGCAGTTGATATGATAGTGCCCAGCAGCTGTTAATATAGTGCCCAGTAGTTGTTATTATAGTGCCCAGCAGTTCTTATTACAAAATCTAGTAGTATTACATTTAGTAATATCTCCTCACACATCCTCCCCACAGGTATTGTCTCAAAGAGTGGCTCTCTCACTGTTCTCACACAGCTTTCACTCTTACAGCAGACTCACACCTCACCATCCTCATCAAATTATCTGCTCCATGTTTGTTTCTTCCACCTACCGCCTGCTCAGAGGTCCCCATGGAATCCAATGGGCCCCAGAGCTTCAATCTCTCCTTGTATTCCCCTCCTGTACTTTGATGTCCCACATCGCAAGCTCCATTCAGAAGTCTCCCTGACCCAGCTGCTCATGATGGTCACTCTATTCAGCGATCTAAAAATCCAGTGATTCATATCCAAAGCAGCAGCACCACTGCATTCTTACTACTATCTGCAGTTGTACACTTACTATTTACTTTTAACTCTTTGTGGAAATGAGCAACAAGGGGTATCAATATATCCTGCACTCATTCCCCTGGGGAAGAGGGCGGAATATATCATGAGTTACCCCTCTCAAATCTCTGCATTCCTTTAAGGGACTAGACAAGGGGATGAGGCCCTGGTTCCCTCAAGATGGTGACAGGATTCTTTGCAAAGTGGGAGGCTTAAAGACATGGGGATTGGTATGGCTCAGGAGAGGAAGCCGCATGATCATTGCTCTTCCTTTCCTGACCACACAGGCTGCATGCCTGTATAAGGGTCTGGTATAAGTTTTAAAGGGAATCCCCTTTGTTCTCTTGCAAGCATTCAAAAACAAAAACAAAAAGAATAATTCCAGGCTTTTATTCAGACATGCAGCCTAGGTGGTCAGAGTGCATTTATGTACAAACAGAACAAAAAAGAACACAAACCTTTTAGATTTTTTTTCTGACCAAGACAAGCTCAGAGGTAATCAGGTAAAAACAGATGTGTTTATGTACGCCCTTGGACTAGCAAGGAGCTTCTGTTCAGATCCACCTTAAAAACTGAAAGGCAGATCTGATCACAGCATTGTGTAAAAGTATCCTTATGCAGGCCATAGATGGGTCGAAAATCGGCTGATTTTTCGGCCGAAAAAAAAAATCGGCCAATTTTCGCACTGTTAATGGGTTAATTGGTCAGCCAGTTTTCTGGACTTTGGCACGTTTTTTTTAATCGGTAAAGTTGGAAAAAAATGGTCGATTTTGCCAATCGGACGATTTTTGCGGCAATGATGGGCAAATCGGCCGATCTTTTTACCGATAAAAAATCTGCGCATGAGCCGTGACCTGCAAGAAAAAGAAGACGAATAAAAAGAAGAAGAAGAAGAAAAAAAAGAAGAAGAAGAAAAAGAAGAAGAATTCCAGTCCGCTATTATATTTGACATGAAAAAGTGTTGCGTTTGCAACAATGTATCTATTTGTATAAAAACATCTGTATCCGAAATGGATACAAATAGATACAATGTTGTAACCGCTATACGTTTTAATGTCAAATATAATTAAATGCCGGCTGTAGACGGGGACGAAAATCGGCTGCTGATTTTTTTTACCGTTGGTGGCCTATTGAACGACCGATTTTTCATTTTTTTTGTTAAAAAATAGATGGTTTTCAACCCATCTATGGCCTGCATTAGGTGTGGTAATGTTACCACCACTACTATATGACACCTCCCCTACTAAGAGCAGATAGGGATTTGGGCAAGGTGAAATGGTCAATTTGGTCCAGTGGTTTGGCTGCTCACCAAACTGTGAACAGGTTATTATTATTTATTACAGGTACTTATATAGTGCTCTCAATTTATGCAGTGCTTTACATATATATTGTACATTCACATCAGTCCCTAACCCCTTAAAGGGTGTACAATCTAAGGTCCCTAATTTGCATTCATACTCAGGCCAATTTAGACAGGAGCCAATTCACCCACCAGCATGTTTTTGGAGTGTGGAAGGAAACCAGAGTACCTAGAGGAAACTCACACAGGCACAGGAAGAACATGCAAACTCCAGGCAGGTGGTGTTGTGGTTGGGATTTGAACCAATGACCCTAATACTGCCAGGCAGACATGCTAACCATTCAGCCACTGTGCTGCCCGGTTTAACTTCAGATCAAAGCCATACCTGACTTGAACCTAAAGCTTATCTCCAATTGTGAGCACAGGAAAGAGAATGGTTTCAACAAATTTTGACTATGTTTAACCACTAGCCTACAGGGCACTTATACCCCCTTCCTGCCCAGGCCAATTTCCAGCTTTCAGCACTGTTGCACTTTGAATGACAATTGTGCGGTTATGCAACACTGTACCCATATGAAATTTTTTTCTTTTCTTGAGACAGATAGAGCTTTATTTTGATGGTATTTAATCACCTCTGGATTTTTTATTTTCTCTTAAACAAAACAAAAACCACTGAAAATTTTGAAAAAAAAAATCTTTTTCTTAGTTTTTGTTATAAAATTTTGTAAATAAGTGATTTTTCTCCTTCACTGATGTGCGCTAATGAGGCTGCAGTGATGGGTACTGATAGGCTGCACTGATGGACACTGATAGGTGGCACTGATGGGCATTGGCAGGCATCACTGATGGGCATTGAAAGGCAGCACTCATATATGGCACTGATAGGCAGCACTGATAGGTGGCACTGATAGGCGGCACTGACTGGCACTGATAGGCGGCACTGACTGGCACTGTTAGGTGGCACTGACTGGCAATGTTAGGCGGCACTAATAGGCAGCACTGATGGGCACTGATAGGTGGCACTGACTGGCACTGATAGGCGGCACTGATTGGCAGCACTGATAGGTGGCACTGACTGGCAGCACTGACAGGTGGCACTGGCTGGCATTGATAGGTGGCACTGACTGGCACTGATGGGTTACACTGAAAGGCAGTTCAGATGGGCACTGATATGTGGCATTGATGTGCACTGGTAGGCATTGAAATGTGGCATTGATATGGCACTGATGGGCACTGGCAGGTGGCATGGATGAGCACTGACAGCTGGCACTGATGGACACTGACAGGTGGCACTGCTGGGGTTACACAGATCATCAGGGCACACTGATCATCAGTGCCCTGATGATCAGTGTACATGTCCCCTCTGAGGGATGCAGATTACCGGCTCTCCTCTCAAGCTGTCAGTGTGACAGCATTTCCCTATTTACATGTGATCAGCTGTGATTGGACACAGCTGATCACATGACTGAGCCGACATCTTCATCTCTTTCCGTTGATCGGTGATCCGCTGTGTCCGAGGGACACAGTGCACCGCCGATCACCGTGCTGCGCGCTCCCGGAGCCGCACATGTACGGTTAGAATGGGAGGACGTCATATGATGTCCTCCCAGAACGAGAGAACTGCCTTGCGCCCGTCATTGTACTATATGGTGGGTGGGAGGCAGTTAAGATCCAATCTATTATTCACAAAACACAATAAAAGATATAGTTACGGTTGTATGAGTATAAACTTTTTTTGCACTGCTGGAGCATGGAAGGCTTTGAAAGAATTTACCAAGCCCTGGTCTTACTAAGGTTGATAACCACTGCTCTAAAAAAAAGGTAGGATTTGAGTACTATATTAATTTTTTGGTGGCAGAATTCTCTAACATTAAAATTTATTTTATAGCATGCAGGGGTAAGGAATGTAAAAAAAAAAAGCATAAGCCTGGAGTTAGCCCAAACCCATGTTTGGCTGAGCCTGGAAGGAAGCTTTCAGTGATCTAGATCCAAGGAGCAGGGCCTTCCTAACCCTCTTGTATTGAACTGTATCATTGCTGTATTGTCTCCCTTTATATTGTAAAGCACAGAGCAAACTGTTGGTGCTATATATATATATATATATATATATATATATATATACTGTATATAGTATAATAATAATAATCTAGCTCAACCAGGAAAATCACCTCCCCATAGCTGCATGAACACAGTGGGTTGGATGATGCTTTTTACATTATTGACATTGATCTAATATGGCCATGTGGCTTCATTAGGCCAATTATGTTTTTGAGGGGTCTCTAAAGATGATCTCTCATAATAAGTTTCAACCAAACATGAAAATGTTGCACTGGCAATCACTCAGAAAGTCACAGCTTATTTGTTGAATTCCTCTAATTTTTAATAATGAAATTTGTAGCTCCTAGTATCCCTGTTTTTGTATCTACTCCTACCTTGGCATCCTGGTACATTGCATTAACGCATGTGCATGCGTTTGCCTATGTCAATGTTTGTTGTGAAAAGTAACAAATCAAAATGTCCAATAAAATCAGATATGTACAATTTTTTGCAATACAGCAAACCACACAACACATAGTAGTGCATTACTGTGCATTGGAATGCATGTGCATTCTTTTATTTCACTGCGGGGCCATTGAAAATGAATGTAACTGCAACTTGCACACCACAACACGATAGTATGAACGGGCTTCCTAAGGTGAATGCACGTTTGTGAAACTGGAAGCCTAATTTAAAGTATCTGAGTCTTGAGACTTTTATTTGCTACCTGAAGATGCTTTTTTTGAGTACAGATTTATTTTTTTATTTCATTTTTGTTTCTATTTTTAACATACTGTACACAACTTAACTTTAACATTTGATGTTTATTCAAATAAACTGTTGACATACCATGGAATGCTGTGTCTCTTAAATCACTTTGTAAATCCTTTAAAATGTTTTCTTTTCAGTAGATTTAATGTACACTTTGCAATTTCCCTAGCAAATGTTCTTTTAATCCCACTGCATTTTGCCTGTCTTGTTTTAAAAACCAGCACGGATGGATTTTCTGGTGCTATACTTAAGAAAAAATAAAAATGATTTCATACTGGTCAATGAGGGGCAAGAAAGAAAGTGGTGTAATTATGGATTGGGTGAAACATTTGACAGCAAGTAAATCTAATTACATATCTGATTTTATGTTTAAAGATGCGTGGCATGACTCATTTGAGTTATTATCTATGGAAAGAAAATTGATGCATCATACTCTTTAATATAAGAACAGCATTTATCAAGAATTTAATTACTGGCATTTCAAGAAATATGGTATTGAACAAGCTAGGAACAAGCATCTGTCCTTAGAAGATTGAAATATACTACAAAATGCTTTTTAGCTTCTGATAAAAGTAATGTGAAATATAGAAGACATTTATATACAGTCGTCATTGTTGCATTCAAGGAGCAATAAGTAAAACAGACCATAGATAGACAAGAATATCTTAGCTAATTATATTTTGTTTGTATATAATATATTTTACAGAGACAGTCAAAGGAAAAATATTATGTTCCTTCAGTTTGAGCTACTGTATGCTATAAATAATAGCCTTTTTTAGAAAAGTAAAAAAAAATAAATAGTTAAAGGGAAACATTACATAAAAATGTAAATTGTGCAAAACAGCCAGGCTTTTTATTGCAGAAAAGACACACAGTCCACACATGAAACATCTGTACAAAAATTGGCCAATGGACAGTTTTGGTTTGCAAGAACAGACTCAAATGCAGAGACAAAAGGCACAGGCAGATGTTTTCATACAATAATTAAGAGCTCCAGCCCTCATATGATACAGCTGTGTAAAATTGCCCAGTGGTAAGACAGTTTGGAATCAGTGAGAACAGGTTTAACTGGTATAGTAATAGGATAGGGGGGATGTGGTGAATATGATAGATATGACGTGGTCTGGGTTTGAAGTACAGTATTTGTGAATGTGCATTTATTGTTTTGTTCTTTCTTACAATGAAGTGACATGCCAAATACAAAAGGCAGGTCCAAGAACAGATGTTCAGAAACAAGTTAATAGTCCCCTTTGAGCATCCCAAACTAGAAACAAATATACCCATTTCCATTTGCCTTAAGATGAACAGAAACAAGGACATAAATAGCATAGAAGGAACAAAACAGGTGCATGTACAGTAACATTGGCCTCTGTTTCCAGTCCCTCCGGTGGCAAAAGTAGTAGAAAAGAGTGCAGCACACTAAATCTGCTTCTCCTGACACACTTAGCCCTCCTTCCAAACCTTCTGTCCTCCTTATCCCACCCCTTCATAAAATACCCTCCCAATATCTGACAAAACCTTTCCAGTTCATCTCCCCACACATCCAAGAAGTGCTGATGCTTGGCTGGAGTCTGGTCCATTTCAAAACACCAGTTGAATCAGCAAAGGCAGTATCACCATGAATCACTGGTGGTCTGTCATCATGCTCACTGCATTGTGCAATGATCCTGGGCTCACTTTCCACTCCTCAGAGCCAGAACCTTCCCTGCAGTAAATCAAACCCACTTCTCCTAGCACACAAAAAGATGAGGTCCTGAACTTACCACCATCTTCTTAGAGCCTGGGACCTCAGCTTCTCTCTGTGTGCTATAGGAAGTGGGTGTTTTGACACCTGGGTGGAGATAATCAGCCAGTTTATGGGGACCGGAATGAGTATTGTCTCATTTAGGCATGCTTGTATTGCCAGTCGGGTGTTGTGGGCATCAATTCTGATATTTGCTGAGTCCTGCTGCCTCTATGGAGCCGCTTATCAGGCTAAGGCAGTGTTTCTCAACTCCAGTCCTCATGGACCCCCAACAGGTCATGTTTTCAGGATTTCCCTCAGATGAAACAGCTGTGGTAATTACTAAGGCAGTGAAACTGATCAAATCACCTGTGCAAAATAATGGAAATCCTGAAAACATGACCTGTTGGGGGTCCATGAGGACTGGAATTGAGAAACACTGGGCTAAGGGAAGCTGAGTAAGTTCAGTATGCAGCCAGCTCATGCAACAGCTGGACAGCCCTTTCTCAAAAGTTCTCTGTAAATGAAAGAAAAAAAATACTAAATATAGCTGTCCATAGATGAGTCAGTTTTTTTTTTTCATTCAATCTGGGTTGAACAAAAAAACTGACCTGATTTCTCCATCCACACATTCAAGGTGGATGGGAAACTCCTTCCTGCTGATCTATTGTATTCTTCCCTGCCATCAAAATACAATACTAGAAACGTCCCTGCTATCAGAATACAATGATCAGCACTGCAGACCTCCAGCGCTGATGGAGTGGCTAAAATCTGACAGGCTGGTTGTACAGAAATCTATTGGCCTATACATGGATTGAAGTACAGCTGGGCCCCTGCTGAATAAGCAGAATTTTGATCCATATATGGCCAGTTGAAAAGTAAGAAATTTATAAGTAGGTCAACATATAACGGGAATAAATTGTTAGTGTCTATACATCTACATCCCCAACAACTACCAAAAACAAAAACAAACAAAAAAAATTATTGCAGGCAAGACTTTCTGATTTTGAAATAAGACATAATTTCTGTTTACTAAGGAATACATAAATTTAACTGTAAGAAGACATTTAATGGTCAAACAATAATTATACATGGGAGAACTTCACTCTTTCAATCAACATTGGCTTTTTTAATCCTTATGCTGCTTGCTGCTAGCATTAGTAAATAGATATGAAAGTATATAATTTACTTGCTTTAAAACCTTTTTTTTACATTTCTTCAGTTACTTCCTGTCTTCCATGCCTAGGCAAATGATGTCATACATCCCAGGAGTCTTCAGGAGGGAAGGAGGGGTTTTCTTAGCTAAGCACACCCTCCTACCTGCATGCCTGAGCTGAGCTGGATTCAAGGAAGTAAATGCTACATGAATCATCTGCCCTTACTCAAGATGGCCCCAGCCATAAAATGCCATTTATAGTGATTTCTCAGCAAAACAAAGCCTGGAGATATGGATGGATGGGGGAGGTTGCTTTGAATATTAAAATGAATTAAATAGTGATTTTGGTTTGTGATGCTCATATGCACTGTAGTTCCACTTTAAACAAAATCAACAAAGCTATTTGTAATAAAAAATTTATACAATTAAATTTATAGTATGGAGATAAGATAAATAGAAAACAGATGCAAAGTTGCAAGTAGTTTAAAGCATAGTTGCCAACATTTAAAAAAAATATCAACAGGATTTCAATTTCAATGGACAGCCCAGCAGACCATTGTAAGTGGAGAATGTAATTGTAGAGCCACAACCATTTTAAATGAATGCCCCACCCCCAGTGGAATAGTCATTTAAAATAGGTGTGGTCCTACAAGGGACATATTTGTAACTTATTGAACCATTTAATTTTAAAATGCTGTATATACAGAAAAAAAATTATAACAAAGATATAAGCATAGCTAAGAAGATATTGCTCTTTATGAAAAAAATATTTATGTATTTATTTAGCTAGCT